ATTGCAGAGATGGCTCAGCAGTTAAGATCCCTGGCTGCTCTCACCAAGGGCCTGGGTTCAAATGCCAGCCCCCACATGGCCATCCACAACCACCTGTTACTCCAGTTCCTAGGAATCTGATGCCCTCTTCTGGCCTCCATGGGCACATACGTGCACTCATACACATAAAACAATAATGTTTTCAGAAAAGAAAATAACTCACATTTGTCTTCTAACTAACATCCTTTCTGTAGTATGAAATAGACAGTAAGTCATCGTCAATTAAATGAGGAACTAGGCAGCAAATGGTATATAACATAACCACATTTATTTAAGAATGTATTCGTGTCACATGATAAAGTTCAACAGCACAAAGGTCTCAACTACTTTTGCACCAACCTAAATAAGAATTCTGAATCACTGGGGGCATCCTGGCTTTCAGTGACAACGTCGTCTGAACAGAGACTGGCGGGGGAGGGGGGTAATCTAGTCTAGCTTTCAATCCAGACTCTGAGAGTAACGCTCTGCTTACTCCACAGTTTGTACGAGAACACATCATCCATATGCCGCTAGAGGATTACATCAGCTGGCTCCAGAGTCGAGTTAACATGCCTATCCGGCACTACACTATCCCCACATAGCCGGGGCCGGGCCCAGTGGAGGAGGGCAAGCCAGTACCGTGTTCCTGGGTCCAGCCTGCACCATCACGGAGCAGTGAGGTCAGCAGAAGACACTTCTAAACAGAGTTGATGGCCCCACGTGACCTGAACGGGCCCTCCCCCCACCAGGTTCCCTGCCTCTGCCCATGTGACCCAACCGGGCCCTCCCCCACCACCAGGTTACCTGCCTCTGCTCACTGCCCCACTCTGACTCTGCCTACTCTTTCAGACTCTCTCATCACACCCTTTTGCCTAAAAATCCTATTTAATAAAATCGAGTTGGATATTTCTCATCTGCCTATGGAAGTGTTCAGGCTACGGCAGTCAGATCTTTGGAGAACAAGTTACCACTTGCTGAGGTTTTGTTATATGAGCCCAGTGCTGTATCATATAATTATGTATACTAGCATATAACTTTCCTGAGTAGATACAGATGATGTACCCATTCCATACCTCTGGAGCTGGAAGGTTGTTTTCAGTATTTCAGTCACATGTATTGTTTTGGATAGATGGACAAATGGATGAATAAATGAATGGGTAGAGAGCTGGATAAATAGGTAGATGTATAGGTGGATGAACAAATAGATATAAATATAGGTAGATGAATAAATGGATAGGGAAAGAGAGGAATAAATGAATGAATGGCTAGATGGATAAATGGATGGGTAGATTGTGGATGGATGGAAGGATGGATGGATGGATGACTGCAATGTCCATAAAGAAGTGGCATGTATGCATGCCCATGTGTATACAGCTGTGCATGGCACATGTAGAAGTCAGAGCTTGATGTCAGGATGTCATCCTGTCCCATGGGTAGAGACAGATAAGTAAGGTATGAGAGGAGAGATGAGATGAGGGAGAGAGGGGGCCCTGAGGACAGAATCACAAAAGCACAGAGCCACTTGTTCACAGTGTGCCATTTACCGATGGGCTGCTTCCTTCTACACAGCGTGCAAATACCTGGCATGGATCATGGGAGTCTGCACAGCCGCTACACACTGGCTCTTTCATCCTTCCTATTCTGCAGACAGTGAGGCAGAGGCTCACAAGAATTCTTGCACTCTTTGTTATTTAAATTTATTCTTGTTTGTATAGGTTTATGTGTGTGCGTGTGTGTGTGTGTGTGCATATATTCACACATGTATATACATGCACATAGGCCAGAAGTCAATGCTGAGTGTGTTTTTCCAGCACTCTCTGTCTTAGTTTGTTTTGTATCGCTAAGATAAAACACTCTGTCAGGCCAGGTGGCACACACCGTTAGTTCCTGGCCATCCAGAAGAGATTAGAAACTAATAATAAATAAAACACTGACCAAAAGCCACTTGGAAAGGAAAGGATTTATTTGGTTTACAAGGAACAGGCCATCATTAAGAAAATCCAAGACACTGACTCAAGGCAGGAACTGAAGCAAAGGCCACAAAGAACACTGCTTGCTGACCCGCCCGGCTCTTCATGAATTGCTCAGCTAGCCTGGAGTGGTACCACTCACAGTGGATTGGGCCCTCCCACATCAATTAGCAATCAAGAAAATGCCCCACCCATCCCCGCCCCACCCCCACCCCATCCCAGACTCGCCCATGGTTAAAGTGGTGAGGGCAGTTCCTCAGCTTGGTCTCTCTTCCCAGCTATGCCCAGGTTTGTGTCAGATTGACAAACACTGACATCCTTCAGGTTTATATTTTTGAGGCAGGGTCTCCCACTGAACCTGGGGTTTGCTGATCCACCTAGGCCGACGGGCTAGCAAGCTGCTCCCAGCAATGGGATTCTAAGCACCTGCTTCCCTGCCTGGCTTCTGGACATGGTACTGGTGGTCTGGAGTGGGGCCTCAGGCTTGCACAGCAAGCGCCTCACTGACGGCGCATCTCCCTAGCCTCTGAACTTGTTTGTAGCTGACACATAATTCCATAAAAACACTAGAACTGTACATGTTATACCAGATTTTCTTATAACTTGCAAACACCATATCATGTTCAATCAGCTTGCTCCTCAAATGATTATCATTTATAATAAAAAAAAATCCCAAATCCTTCCCTGTGGTCTTTTGAAATAAAAGTGCAGCATTTGCAGCTACAGCTGTCCTGAGTGCACCATGGCACCCTAAAACTTCTTGCCTCTACGTAGCTGTGTCTCCGAACCCCTTTGGTCAACCTCGTCCTTGACTAATTCTCCCAGTTTCCCCACCGCCGCCCCGTCCCAGGCTCTCATTGTTGTCATACAAGGAGGTCACAAAGGCTGCTATGTCTGAAGAAGTGTGCCCCAGGAATGGCTTTAGCGAGCACACGGGTGCACTGTCTCGTGCAGTCTTCAAAGTCTTGTCTCCCAGGCGTTCACAGCAACTCTGCAGCGGTAAAGAGGGAGTCACTAAAATGCCCATCTTTATAATTAAGCACATGAAGACCAACACATAGCAAGTTTGTGCCAGAGTCTAGTCTAGAATGAGGTCTGTCTACGACAGGACTTCCAACTTCCTCCTCGCTAGGTGCCTTCTCAGCTTAGTTCTCAGGACTATAGCGCCATCTAGTGGCAGCTGCTCCGCCGTTAGGATTGCTTTCACTGTGCCCTTGAGCAAAGTGTAACTGTCTTGCCAAAAAAGGAAGGCAACCACTGTTAGCACTTACAAGACCTGGACCTACACGCTCACATAGAGGAATTGGGGAGGGGGGGTACTAAAACATTACCAGGAACAAGGGACAGCAACCAATGCATCATATTCCCAGCTCTCGGGCTCAAAGAGCCCCAGGGAGATCTAATTTTGGTGTGAACAGTTTTAACAGAATCTGAGAGAGCAGTGACAGTCTGGTGCCCAAAGTCACTGTCCCCCTAGATTGCCCAAGCCATCTGTGTATCTGCTATTATAGCTTCTAAAACTGCATCTTTTGTCTGGATTTTCTGTTTATACATAGAGTTCTTCCCCTGGTTGTGAGACAGGGTCTCATGAAGCCCATGGGGAGCTTGAGTTTGCTTGCCTATCTGAAGCTGACCTTGAACTCCTGACTCTCCTGCCTCTGCATCCCAAGCATCGGGATCCCAAGTGTGTACCAGTATGCCCAGTTCTATATATGTCTTTAAAAGACATTAAAACAAAATCACCTCAAAGCAAATCACAGGCCAGATTTAGGCCAAGATGTCACAGTCTGTGGACCTGCTTCAGGGTGAGTTTAAAGAAGACACGCTTTCTATTGTTTCCAAAAGAAGACACTGGGAGGACTGACAAACTGCAATTATTTCAGTATCTACTTAAGTGTTTAGAGGGCATTGACTGTCTTTTCATGGGAAAAGAACATATGCACAGGGTAAAACTGTCACAGTGCTAACCAGGTAGTAACCATCCCCTCCACCTCGCGGCCCACCCTCGATGACAGTAGCAGCCACACCATACCCAGCAGTTTGGGGTCAACCCAGACATGTTCTGTGTGAGCACCAGCAAGAGACGGTGCTGAACGAAGCAGTGAGCAGGTTGGCTCTGTGTGCCGCATGCCAGGCATGACCCTAAGCCAACGGTTCTCAACCCCCATAACGCTGCAGCTCTTTAATACAGTTCCTCATGCTGTGGTGACCCCAACCAGAAAACTGTTCTCATTACTACTTAAGCTTCCAGCTTCCACTCCCTGTATGGCCTTGAAGGGCATCGCATCTGACAAGTGCAGAGAATACACTAGAGCCCATGAGGATGCCTGTGTGCAGCATCCAGCTCACAGGAAGAACTCGGTGCACATTAGAGATGGCAACGGTGACAGTGGGGACAGGGAATGGGGTGTGGGTAGAGCACACAGTCTCACATCCCCAGTCTTGCATGTCAAGGACAATTCATCAGTCACTGTCCTCACATGCCTGCATTAGTGTCTGATTCTGGCTAATTGAACCCTGGGTCCTCCATCACTACCTCTGAGAACATAAAGACTGATTATAAAGCTCAAGTCACATGATCCCAAGCCAGGGACAAAAAAAAGACATCTATCTGGCCTTTGTAACTTAAAAAAATATATTTTGAGAGTTTCACACATGAGTACTGGATTTACATTATTTCCACCCATCCCTCTGCTCCCTCCAATACCTTCTGCGGCACCCACTCCCTCTCAAATCCATGACAGCCAATAGATAGAAAGATAGATAGGTAGATAGACAGACAGACAGATAGATAGATAGAAAGATAGATAGGTAGATAGACAGACAGACAGACAGATAGATAGACGATAGATAGAAAGATAGATAGGTAGATAGAGAGACAGACAGACAGATAGATAGATAGATAGATTATAGATAAACGATAGATAGATAGGTAGATAGATAGACAGACAGACAGACAGATAGATGATAGATGATAGATAGATAGATAGATAGATAGATAGATAGATAGATAGATAGATAGATAGACAGACAAACAGACAGACAGACAATCTGTCAAGTCCAGTAGGTGTTGCTTATAGGTATGTTAAGGCTAACCACTGGATTGGATAACCTATCAGGGGTTTGTCATCCCTGGAGAAGACTGATTCTCCTCTCTCAGCAACCACCGATCGCCTATAGCTCTTCACCTAGGGATGGGGCCTTGTGAAATCTCCCCCATCCATGTTGGCATACTGGTTATGCTGGTGTTATCTAGGCAACCACATTGTTGAGATTTCATATGCACCGCTTTTATGATGGGAACAAAACTAAGCCCACGGAGTAAAATAATTCCAAGGAAAGGAAGGGATGGGAATTCCAGTTACAAAGACCCAAAAGCACCCCCCAGAGAAGGCGCCCTAGACAAAGAGCCATCTTAGGGCTAGTCACTCAAGAAAGAGCAGTTATGTGTTAGAAGGTTGGAACTTCTAGTCACCAAATAGTCGTGTAAGACCAAGTTCAGTCACAGAATCAATGATTCAGTCAATCGTGTCCATTCGGGGAGAGAACGCTTCATGCCGATGCCGATGACAATGGTGGTGGTTGTAATGATGATGATGATGGTGATAATGGTAATTACTGTGATTACAATAAACCGCCAACATAGCTGCCATGCTTCGCTGAGTGTTCCGAGTTGTTCTAGTAAATGTTTTTAGACCTGGGGGTGACTAGTGGAAATCCCCAAGTGGTAGTTAGTTGGGGGAAAGTGTATGTAGCCTAAGGAGGTCTTTAGCAACACAGGTGGATGGCGGGAGAAAGTTATAATTCCAAGGCTCGTGCCCTTCCAACTCTGCAGGTGAGCCTCTGGCAAGAAAAGTGAGCTGAAGGAGAAAGCACAGTTTGCCCCCACCTGGCATGTCTTCTTTAGCCGAAACAGAGCTGAAAATATGAAAATGTGTTAATG